AGTGAGAGAGAGAGAGAGAGTGAGAGAGAGAGAGTGAGAGAGAGAGTTAACAAGTATGTGTTATCTACTTACCAAGCATCGTCAAATTTCTCTTTGTGAAAATCAATAAATTATCTTATGTCACCTCACCGTGCCCCTCCCCAACTCACCCCACCTCACCCGACCCCACCTCATCTCACCCCACTCCACCTCACCCCACTCCACCTCACCTCATCTCACCCCACTCCACCCCACTCCACCTCACCTCACCTCACCCCACCTCGCCCGACCCCGCCCCATCCCACCTCACCCCACCTCACCTCACTTCACCACCTCACCCCACCCCAAGTTACCTCACCTCTTCTCACCTCATTTCACCTCTCACCTCACCTCATATCACCTCACCTCACCCCACCCCCACTCCACCCCACCTCACCGTACCTCAGCTCACCTCACCCCATTTCACCTCACCCCACCCCACCTCACCTCACCTCACCCCACCTCACCCCACCTCACATCACCCAATCTCACCTCACCCTACCCCAATCTCACCTGATCTTCAAAACAGACACAAGTAATTCTATCTACTTTTATTAAACAAATTTAAGTCAAGTCTTAAAAGAAACAGAACAACTCTTATCCTCCCTCATTTAAAATATAATAAGATATAACAATTTTAACTAATGTTTTGACATATTGTCAGGACCTTCTTCCAGAACAGAAAAGGAAGGACACAAACCTTGTTCTCTTGACTGCCTTTGTTTTTTAGCTGGACCTGGACCTGACTGATGTTCATTTTGTGACCCTATGAAATACAAAAGTGATTTACATGATTAGGCAATTGGGTATGGTGCAAGTTCTCATGCCAAAGTTTACTTCCTGAAATAGTTTTGTTATTTGTCATTCTGCATCTTGGAAACATCATGATTATGTAATGTTGACTCAATGATACATGAACAGGTTCAAAAGCTTTTGAAGGCACAAGAAAAAAGTTGAGAGACATAGAAAGTTTACATTTTTCTTCTTCAATCATGCCAAAATAATTACTCGATTATTATATAGATATAAATAAACAAACACTCTCTCCAGGTTCATTACAAAACGAATTTATTTTCTGATTATTTGCTACATATCCAGAGAAATTCTTAAATTACAGAAATCTCTGAAGCAAAGTGGGGGACTCAAGTGGTATAGAGCTTAGAGAGCTCAGATTCGCACACTGCATTAAGCAAAGTCTGTGAAACAGCCTAAAGGTGGGGTGGTCACTGGGGTTGAGAGAGGGGGGCATCCTTGAGCAAAACACTGAAGCATCAAGCTTAACTCAAAGACTGTTTCATTTTCCAATGACATACATGTATTATTGACTCAAGTACATCATAGAATAAAAATCTCTCTACAGGTTTCAATAACGTTGTCTTTTCTTTCTTTTTTCAAATCTTCACTCAAATTGATTTATAATTTTGCCATAGAGACGTCAAATCATGCCTGAAAATGATGCTTACAAGTTATTTCAATCTATAACTTGAAAGGTAATTTTCCCCTAAAGTAAAATTATCATACTTTTAACATGCTCGGGAAGATGGTGTCCATCTGCACATGGCATTCTTTTTTTTAGAATAGTGTCATATACAGGAAGACCCATTTGCTCATTTTATACCCTCTGTCAATCATACCAATTCAATATACTCTCCCCTAATCTTTACAAATTTGTTTTTCGCTTAAGATCATTACAATGACTATTCAACAATGATATAATTTCTCAGTACAATACTTTCTAGTCACATCATACTCCTACTTCCTTACAATATAAATATATATTACTCGGGGGGATTAATACTGAAACAAAGTCAGTTATGGTAAACAAATGTCACGCATATATATACATAGAACTTGACCCAAAATTGTAATTTTATAACATACCAACATAACATCCACTAGAACCAGGGAATTGCTGCCCTTCTGAATGTAATGACCCACTGGACTCTCCACATTCATTATATTCACCTGTAAGGAAAAAGTAAATGCAAACATGACTCGCATGTGAACGCAGTATCTATTTGGAGACGTCTCCGACAGAGATAGACCAATCAAAATGCTTCGTGTCTCAAGACCAAGTAAAAATATCTGGGGGGTTACAGGGGGGCATGCCCCCCTATTTTAACCCATAACTCGATATTTTGCTGCTAGCTTTGAATTTTTCTTGAAAATAGTTGATTTGCAACAGTTTTAGTGGCGAAACGTGTGATCTGCAGGAAACAGTACACAGTTTAACCCCCCAAAGCAGTGCATCTGTGTGCGGGGGGCAAGTCTCCAAATAGTTCCTGGGTTCTCGCCAGAGACATCTCCTAATATCTTTTGCACATGTGAAGGGTTTATCCAACACGAAATAAGTGAGAAAAAGAAAACGTTTGCAACTCGGTCTTATCTATCATGGTCACCATGGGGTCAGTTTGGCCCACCACCATAGCACCAAGTCCAAAAAAAAATATTGGAAGACGTGCTTATAGTGTGCACTGAACTTGAACACCAAAATAATTTCAAAATTTCATAGAACGCTACAGAAAACAAACTGATTTAGGGGTGGTTGCAACAAAATCCCCATTGTTCACAAGAAGGGACCAAGTGCAATCATGAACTCCCACGGGACCAGAGACTTTCTTTGTGTCAGCAGATTCTCTCTTAATAGAGTGAAAAGAACATAAAAGGGGAGGGGGAATCCTTTCTTACTGTTTGTTGGCTATCAGACCAAATGCTGTTAGGCCTGTGTAACCTATTCTTAGTTATTAATAACACGTGCAGAGCTGACAACCTTTGAAAATTGAAAAAAAGGGAAACCTTATATTCAACCTCAGACAAATGCCCAGGTAGAGGTTCGAAGGAGGTAGTACTGTTTACTTGATGGTTCTCCACACTACTAGTCAGTTTAAGAATAAAAACAAACAACAAAACATGGAGTTGATAAATCATAACTGCATTATCCAATGTAATTTATAAGAGAGTAATCTGGAAATTTAAAAAAAACGAACATTGCCAAATTTATTATGAAATTGGCAATGTTCGTCATAAAAAATTAGGGACACCTTGCAACTTCCCAATATACCGTACCCTGGTCCCCTGTGAAACAAAGCCACTCTTTCACAACCCACTACCCACAGTAAATAGGAAATAAAACCCCGCCAATGACCAGAGCTGTTAAAGTACTTTTAAAAAGGTACTTAAGTACAAATTTAAGTACAATCTTAAATATGTACTAAAGAACAGTAAAAGTACTTTCCTGTAAAATGTACTTGAGTGCAAGTACTTTTTTTAAAAAGTACTTATGAGTACATTTTGAGTACTTTCTGCTAATATGCTAAAACACTTCAGTGCTACTGCAAAACATCACATTGAATAACATATCCAGTATTTTTGACAAATTCGGTAATTTATTAAAAATGTAAACAGTGTACAAAGCATTTGAATATACGCACTGAACGTAGGCGAAAATGGTCCGTGAAATTGAAAAAAACCCAGCAAACAAACAGATGCAACTAGTGAGTAAGTCATATTATGAATAGAACTTGTTTGACCAAGACAATATGATATATGATCAAATGTAAGTCAGTCCTAGAGGTCGGAAAGTAGGAAAAGTATCCAAACTGGAAAATGTAGAGACAAAGTTGCTCTAAGAAAATATAAAATTGATGAAAATGGCCACCAAAAAAAGTGCATTGAATTCTTCATTGACAAATCCTCAAGGAATCAAGGTAGCCTTAAGCACAAACCACAAAAAAAGGAAAAAAGAAATTTAGGTAGCCCAAAAAATTGTTAAATCGATACTGAGAACTCAGTTTCAATAGATTATAATAGTGGTAAGACAGATTTTGGTCACACTGTGTAGTCCACGGCGCCCAGGGCAAACCAAAATAGGCCTACATGTAATTTCCTAGAGTCTAGTAAGTGTAGTGTAACCAAAAATTCTCTACTACAGTAGTCTCCGCCTAAGATCCCAGCCGACGAAGCCAAGGAAAAATCTACAGTGACCCATGAACTGATGTGACCCCTGGGTAGGTTTATGACATATGGCGAGCAAAGAGTGGTCAACCTTGATGACCAATCACAGTAGCATGGTGGCATGAGGCATGCCATAATATTATACTGTACACTCATTAGCATATCGTCTCGGGATCTTTATCTACGTTTATCCAGTTGCCCCTCCCCTTTACCTGTCCAAAAATTGTAGCCTCCCATCTTTGATTGAGTCCCCCCGCCTTTGTCGTTACGTACCATTACGCTGTGACCACACCAGTTAAAATTCAGGCTGTCTCACAAATTCGGGAATAGAGAAAAACTGCCTTCAACTTCAATGGTCAGGGAAGAGTTCACAGTTCGATGTGATCCTGCCAGGAGTGAACTTGTAGGCCCTACCCACCCAACGAGTGATGAAAGTTGAGGTGGCGAGCTCAGATGCGAGTGCAATGTTTGGGGAAAAGAAACGCCCATCGGTCAGTTCACACCTCGGTGTGATCCCGTCTGGTGATCATTGTACCGTTTCATGGAGTTTTACAACGCTTGTGATCACATTCACGAGAGTGGCTGATCTTTGACTCGACGGGCAGTTCTTTATTCTCAACTTTTAACTCTTGGTTGATCGGCTGTGCCTGCCCGGGTGTTTGTTCCGTAAATTATGATCAGAAATGCCGGCACTTATTCTTTCATTAAGCTTCAAAAGTACTCAAAATGTACTTTAAAAGTAGGCAAAAGTACTTTGTAATGCACAGAATAGAGAGGGGAAAAAGTGGGGATTTGAAATCCTTTTGTGTTTAACAGTGTTTGTGTTGCGCAATGTCTACTGTATTTTTAAAATCTCTTTCAAGTCTCTATACTTTTTTTTTTTTTTACAGAAAAAAGGTTTGTCCCAGCCTCTTTCAAACAAGTTACACGTACGAAATGTGACCGATTTTTCTTTTTGCTTATTAAATATATATGTAAACCTGCTCCCACTTCTTAAGTTCCTTCGTCACAATATTCTGATACTTCTGTTAACTGTGTCTTATAGAACTTACCAGGGGATCCTGGAAGGACCACGCAGTCATCTGAAGGATCGTCCCCTTCCACTTTGATCACCATATGGTTTCCCGCCGTTTCACTAACAACAGGAGCATCATACTTGACAGAGTATTTTTGCTGGGCAGATTCTGTCTCTTCAGAGTCACTCAGGCTTCCCATGGCACTAGCACTTTGCCTTGGTTTGTCATGTGGAATATCACTCGACTTCTTTACATTCTTTTTTGCTCTTTGAGAATCAATTATTTCTTCATCATGGGGAACTTGTTTGGTGCTTAATCTTGAAGGCGGTGAAGAATGATAACTATTACTGAGAAAAGTGGTTGATGCATCATCTCCTTCCTTTGATACTTGTTCATCCACAATGTAATTGAATTTGAATTTGTGATCAACCCTGACATTGATATGTCCTATTAATTCAATACTCTCATTGAAGTCCACTTGCCCATTACAAAGAATCTGTAATGACTTCACTAGCGATGATATGAAATTGCTTGCAGCAATGTTCGAACTTTCTTCCAGCATGTTGGTCACCAACTAGAGAAAGAATTCAAACAGATTAACATTAAAACTTTTCCATTTTATAACGTTAAAAAAAACAAAAACAAATATGATGTAATGATGACTTGAAACCAATGAAAGATAACAATATCTGTTTGTGACATTTGTTAACTAGTGGTGTAGATGATTTCATGAAGCACTTTAAATAACTTATAAACACATTCTGCACATGAGTTACAAGTAAAGGAAACTGAATGCTTGAAACTTTCAACCATAGTTGCTCAGAAGGCTTGCATAACACTCTGCCCAAATCCACACTTTTGATACATGGATACATCCTTAAGACAGTTTTTTCCGAGTTTTGCAGGACTTTGGAGGAATGCTCCCCGAGCCTTTTGACACATCTTGCACTTGCTGTTGAAGGTAAGCCTAGGCCTAGGTTTGACAGCGACGAAGTCTTCGAATTAATTGGTCTTTTCTTTTTTTCTTTTTTAGATACATTTAAATTCTCTGTCTTTCTAGGCCTAGATCTAGATCTATGTAGATTTAGATTCTAGATCTAGATGTCTAGTCTAGATCTGGATTCTAGAATCTAGATTTTTAGCTCTAAGATAGAGATAGGCTATCAGTTCTAATAGTCTCCTATTGGATTACAAGTGATGGGCCAGATTTTGGACTTCAGGCTAGCTTTGGGTCGTGTGTTAAACAAAGTTTAAAAAATTTATTTAGGGACCCTAATTCTTTCTAAAAATCATTCTAGAGATCTAGAATCTAGGCTGGATCTGTACCCTTAGTAAAAAGGTTGTCTAGTCTGTCAAGAAGTCCAAAACTTTGTTAAAATGTTATCAAATGGACTTCCTTTCAGACAAAACCTTCACAGCAGCAGACACTTAAATTTCAACACTGAATACCCTATCCGTATGTCGTGTTTTACTCTCGTATCCATACGATGTGGGGAACTCTGTGCCACTACTTTCCAAAGAGAAAATTTACTCGTTAATCCAATCCGTACACTTTGCATAGCAGTCTGTCAAAATGATTTTTTGAGAAATACTGAAAGTTTCAAAGAGTTCTTCGCACGAGAGAAGTATTCTAAAATGTGAAGAATACAATCCTAGGGGTACAAAATGACTCCAGGGCGTACGGATAGGATTAATGAGGATTGTATAGATTGTGAAGCACATGGAGCTTGCTGTTGAGCGGGGATTTGCGCTATACATATGCTATCTATTATTAATGATCAGATCAACTTGTACAGTTTAATCTGTCCGAGACGACCACCCATTGTCGATGACAAAAGTTGTCATCTCATACTGTCATTTTTTTTATGCAGGGGGGGGGGGGGGGGCAGTGGGAAGTGATCGTTTGTAGTTTAAACAGGTGGTCGTTATAACAGGTTTGACTGCACTCAGGGTTGGGTTGATTTAAATCAGGTTGATTTAAATCAGTTGATTTTTTTTATTTAAATCAACTTGATTTTTTAAATAAAAATCAGTGATTTAAATCACTTTTTTTTAAAATTATTTTTATTCGGTTTTTACACATTTCAACATTCAGAATTCCTTTCCTTGGTTTCATATAACAGATATAAGGTTTAGTAGACTAATATAATCATGCTTAAAAGTCTGCTTTCCACCCTTTCACTGTAAAATAATACAGTATTCAATTTACTTTTTTTTCCATAAAATGAAATCAGAGCTGGGTTGATTTAAATCAGTTGATTAAAAATTTTTTAAAATCAATTTGATTTTAAAAATAAAAATCAGTGATTTAAATCACTTTTTTTAAAAATGTATTCAGATTTTACATATTTAAACTTTCAGAATTCCTTTCCTTGGTTATATTTTAAACGGATATAAGGTTTAGTAGACTAATATAATCATGCTTAAAAGTCTGCTTTCCCCCCTGTCACTGTAAAATAATACAGTTCTCAATTTACTTTTTTTCCATAATTGAAAACCAGGGTTGGGTTGATTTAAATCGGGTCGATTTAAATCAGTTGATTTTTTAAAATTTAAATCAACTTGATTTTAAAAATAGAACTCAGTGATTTAAATCACTTAAAAAAAATGTTTTCTGTTTTTACATCTTTAAACATTCAGAATTCCTTTCCTTGGTTTTATAAAACATATAAGGTTTAGTAGACTAAAACTGCTTAAAAGTCTGCTTTCCCCCCCTGTCACTGTAAGTAGTAAAATAATACAGTATTCAATTTACTTTTTTTTCATAATTGAAATTAGCATTTTCTTTTTCTTTTTAGACAAACACAAGCGCGTGCTCACACACACACTGTAATAAAAATAAAATGCAAGTTTATCTATGCATAATTACCCCCCCCCCCCCCTCCTTCCTTTTAGACTGACATTTTCTTCATTTTTTGTCTGTAGCCATAATTCACTGATATAGCAGATTAAGGCTTTCTAAAATTGCAGTTGCTTAAATTAATCATTAGTTAAAATAAAGACAATGCATTTTGCACTAAAAGAACATACTTTTAGCCACCAAAAATCCCAAACTGTGTCGACATTTTGAAAAAAATCAAAAAAATCCGATTTAAATAAAAAAAATCTGATTTAAATTTTAAAAATCGATTTTTTAATTTTTATCCCCCCCCCAAAAAAATCACCAACCCTGACTGTACTACGAGTGAGTGCTACTGCTAGTGCCCTGTCACTTCTAAATTTAACGCAAGCTTCCTGGCTAACAGGTAAAGCAGAAAGGTCAGTACCTAACTGCGAAATATAAAAAATGTATGGGCTGGGCGGTCAAAATATTTGGTTAATCAAAATGCCAGAAAAGGCAGAATTTTAGTTTATGCAAATTTTAAAGAGCAACAACACAAAAAAAATTAATTAAAAAAATTGAAAGTATGCAAGAAGTTTAGGCAAACAAAATTAGTAATTATTATCCATACTTGGTTTCGTAAGTAAGCGATTGAACCGTGATGAAAATTATAAGGGCATGCTAGTGCTGAGAAATATGCCCTAAACATGATACAGTAGTCTCTGCCTAAACGCACGGTGCTCGGGACGACCCATAAGTATGCATTTATACGGAGCGTGAGTCATGAACCTGTGCAAGGAAGGAATGGGCGCAACTGTCTTATTTCCTAGATATTTTAGTGACCCTTGGAGGGTGGGGGATCAGTTTGGACGACAACGTGACGACACATGACAGTTTTGTGAAGAATCCCTCGACTGCGGTATGAATTATGAATACTAAGGGGGGGGGGGGGGGGAGCGCAAAAAGGGACTCACTGTTCTGTATATAGTATATATATAATTATAATATCATGTCTGTCCACCCCGGTCATAATCAGTCGTAGTGGGTGGATTCCATGTACAGTTAGTTCGTGTGGTCTATTTGGTTGTTTTTGGCTGTGGCAGGGGGTTAGGCGAAAGGCCACCTCTATTCTCACCCCGGGTGAGAATAGTGCAGGCGAGTCTTTTGGCTATATAGATTCTCACCCGGTGCGCGTTCACCGTTATAGCCTAAATCTAGGCCAACCAATTTTGCGTTCACCCTAAACCACAGAATTCTACACTGTGATAACAGAAAAATTTTAGAATTCTGTGCCGTGAACAAACGTTTCATTACTACTGTTAGCCTACTAAAAGCGTACAATTTTGTCTGTGGGCAGTGGAGAGAGAGAGAGAGAGAGTGAGAGAGAGAGAGAGAGAGAGAGAGAGAGAGAGAGAGAGAGAGAGAGAGAGGGGAGTAGCGCCAGAACTTCCGGGCAAAACAAAATGGCAACCCGCGTAGTTCGGCTCGATTCGAAAAGTTAAATAGCCATAGCATCTTTGTAGACGACCAAATTAATTTACTTTTGTGTTTTAACATCATCTTTAAACTTTGTTTTGGTCAATTTGATCGTCCACACCGATAGACCGTATTCAGAAAGAGACAGATCTAGAGAGAGAGAGAAGAGGGGATGAGTAGATCTTGCGAGAACTTCCAGGCAAAACAAAATGGCGACCCCCGTAGTTCGGCTCGATTCAAAAAGTGAAATAGCCATAGCATCTTTGTAGTCGATAAAATTAGCTTACTTTTGTGCTATAACGTAATCTTTTCTTTGCCTTTATCCATTTGATCATCCACATCGATAGAAAGTATTCCGAAATTAGGAAAAACAGGTCTTGTTTCACACCGGGTGAGAATAGCGTACGGTGGCAAGTCTCACCCCGGGTGAGAGGTCGATCGTATTTCTATTCTCACCCCGGGTGAGAATAGCCACTTCCTAGGCGAAAATGAGTCATGTCCACTGCAAGCCTCTCCCAGACTGTGCTAACCTCCAAATCCCCAGTTTCGTGTTGTAATGGAGCAGGGTCTATCGACTGACATCTCTTACAATTCTTCACGGCTGATTTCAGTTGTTCCTTTGTCTTTGTTATTGTCGGATCAACTTCCTTGGCCAGATACCATGACCGTTCAACCCCCATGTGGTGCTGGTTATGCAGATATCCATGACAACGGTACTTTTGTTGCAGCACCGATCGCAGAACTCTCTTCTTAGTAGGCCTACTCATTTCTGGTTTGCTGGTTTGAGCCAACCACTCTTTCTTTACTCTTGTTAAAGAGTCAGCCTTGTCGTACTTCGAAGGCACGAGATATCTAGATCTAATAATAGCCAATGTTACAAACAAACACTACAAAATACAATTTATTAGTCTACAAAAGACTTGAAAAACAAAAAATGCAGTTAATTGTCATTAGGATTAGGTTAGGCCTAGGATCAAACGATTGTGTCATTATCGACGTCGAACCAGAGAAAACGAACAGTCATCAAAACATCTAGCCTACCTGGATCATTCGAGAGAACTTTGCTTCAAAACAGAAGTTTTCTGTGGTCAAATGAAAATATTTCCTGTAATTCTAACTTAGATTCTAGTGCACTTATGCTCTCTGGGGTACAAAAGTAAATCTTTGTAAACAGAAAGAAGAGACGTCTTCTGTTTCAGTTTCTTTTACTAAGACTCGAATCCAGTAGGTAATAGAGTTAAAATCGATACAAATACTTGCTGCATAGAGCCTATGTATCGGCGCGGAGTGACACAGAATCAAGGAGTTTAGAACTACTGTAAACTCCTTGCACAAAATGAATTGCCATTCGAGTGCTTGGAATTAATTATGTAATTAGGCCTAGTGTCATACTATTATTTAAGTAAATTATAAGGCTACTTTAAACCACAGACTTGACTGATAACACATGATATGAGCAGACTTGACAGCACATTATATAGGTCTATAGTTAAGTACCATATATGTACACAGAAAACAAACGCTTCTTATTATGTCTAATTGTGGACTTGAACCTCAACACACATGTCTTTCATTTAATTTAATACTATTCTCACCATAGACAGCCCCGTCATCCCACCTCTATACATTTGAAAGCAGTTGGAATAGACTGGTAAACCCAGAAAGCAAAATTTTAAGCAACAACAAGAGATTGAAAAAAAAAAACCAAACAAAAACTTCATTCTTTTAAAGATTGTATAACCTATACATATGTACAAGGTGAATTTTTTGTTTTCAAAATTTAGAATTTAAATTTCATCATTTAAAAAAAAAAATTTCTTGAGCAGCAACCGATATGATTTACATATATATATATATATATATGTATCCTATCCTACATGATATGTCCTCATAAAAACTATTATAGGCATCGGGGAGAGAATTAAGAAACGTTATTAAAGAGATTTATAATGTTATCTTGTGGACACTAATAAGCAAAGATTGAAAATATCTTAGTAGCAAGCTGGCAATACATACCACATATATATGTATCTTTGGTTTTGCTTTTCTAATCTCTGAAAATCAAGTAAAGAAAGATTTTTTTAGAAAACAAAACCGAAGCACCTGCATGTCAGTCATAAAATGGAAAGACAAAAGAAGATAAGAGATAAGCAGTGACAGTGATAAATATGTAGCGACGACTGAAGACAAAAGACTTTTGGACTCCCCACAAAATCAGCGGGGTTTTTTTTCGACCTGGCCTAGTTCCAAGCTAGTTCTTAGTGTCTAATTGAAGACTCATGGCTAACGAAGTTTTATAGACATTTCTCAAAGATTGGAAAATAAGGTTGAAGGAGTTAGATCTAGCCAAGGACCTTAATTACAACATAAAATTTGTTAACATCTCTTTTGATCTAACCTCTTGCCTGTACAACAACATTAATATGTAATAAAACAATGTTGGTATCGATATTTAAAAGTGTTTGCCCTGATTTTAATCAAAGATCCTGCTTTGTCGAATGTTGCCAAATCAGATTTGCCTCCCAAGCAGAACAAAATTAAACCTAACCTATTTGGCAAACCAGTTAAAACGCACAAAGGCGCTAAGGTTTTGAACAATTCAGATTTAGATCTACTGCTCTCAGTGTGAAAAGGTGAATGCCCCCCCAAAAAAAAAGGTCAGGGTAGGCCAAGACTAAGATGGAATTTCTTAAGGATTTGTCAGTTAAAACATGTGTAGATCTAGCAGGGGAAAAGGCAGGGATGATAAAAGTTTTGAGAGAGAATCTAAGCAGACTGGAGAGCCATGGCGCCGATATCTCTCTCTTTCAGCTATGGCAAGGGGGGAAAAGAAGAACCAAAACACAATAGCTGGCCATAGATAGAGTCTTGGAGTAATACACTGACAATACGCATGCACAGTGACGATAGATTGAAACACGATAAAAAGACACTCTGCCAATGTTCTGCATCTCTTATATTCAAGCTCTATTTCTCTTTAAATATTTTGACATCTCTGGTTATGGGGCTTCTTGGCTTCTTCTTTCTATGTGAAAACTCCACTATTCCCCGCCCACTAAATCAATCTGGGAACTAAAAGCGAGCCTCGTTTTGGCGGCAAGTCATCAATATTCAACCACCTCCCTATGACTTTTGACCCTATTACATGGCTAAGTCAACACTCCTCAATCATATCAGCTTTTTCTTTGTTTAAAAAATGATAAAAACATAAAATCGATTGGCTATGTCACAAATATTGAACATATGTATACATTTATTTAAAAAGACCCTGCAAGTTAAAACAATATTTAGGTAGTAGCCACATATCTTCCTCTCATAGTAGGCCTATCTCTTTTTAATAATATAAAAGCCAGTTCTCATGAACACACATATACATGGCCTCCAGTCAGAGTGCAGGACTCCAGTCTTTTTTTTCTTCACAAAACAGGTAAGCAATACGTAGTAGCAAGTTCAAGGGTGTAGAACAAAGCCACATTATTTACAAGCACAACATTCCGTATCGTTATCTTGAGTGTTTAAGGTTAAAACGTCCGTTATGCCACCTGAATGGTTTGAGAATAGATGTTTCTTCCCTGCCTTGCAAAAGATAAATTTCAATGGTAATGTCCTTACAAAGGTCACCTTTTTGTGTATGAAACTGGTTTCCATTGGATTTTTATGACCCATTACTTCGACGTTTATCCGCTTTGAATTTATATTTTATTCTTTGAGAAACAGTCCTGCAAAGGTTTGGGCTAAGTAAGTGGATTGGATGTAAAAAGTCTTAATGTTTTATGTGAAACAGAATTAGGACGAAGCTTCAGCCCGCGGAACTCGCGCATGCGCAATCCAGCTTTAGTGAAGATAATGACGGCCATTTGGCTTTGTTGAAAAAATTACGGTAAATTCCAGCAAAATATCGTCTTTGACAGATATGCATTAGTAACCCCCTGTCGTGTATCTGGTTTTTGCCGTTTTCAGTTATTGGGTAAGTTGACTACCCGTATTTTATGCTTTTAAAGGTTTTCAAATTCTGTATTTCATGTTCTCAATTTCACAACCAGCAACAGAACCCCATCCTGGTCCGAGTGCTGCAGACTGCTGACTCAATGCCCCGTCTGCTGTGCCCTGGCAGATCTGTTGTGTTCGCTGTTGGCACCCCCTAGAACGCAACCATGCTATTTTAGAATGTTTTATACGATGCAGAATCTGTGGATGGCCTGTAAGTTATTTGGTTTATCAGCTGTTTATTGTGGTTGAAAGGTGAGGCTCGATGAAGATGTAGATCTAGATCTAATACTGAGTGTAACGGACTCTGAAGGAGTGAAGGTCCAGGGAATGCGACAAGAATAGGCCAAGTATGGCTGGTTGGTGCCGGTGCGGGCCCTTGCTTGCCGCAGGAGTTATGATGGCTGTTCTGTTATAACTATTTGTATAATTAACGATTGTCTTGCTAGATCTAGAATCTAGATCTAGTTAGATAATTTAATTTATTGAAGAATTCTGTTTAGTCCTATTCTTTTAAGCGTGATTGTGAACAACAGCCTCAGACTGTCAGATTATTGTGATGCAAGGTCTACTTTAGGTTAGGGTAGGCTAAAATCACCATTCCTGCTGGTTACTTTTATTAGTCTAGATTCTATAATATTATTATATCTTGGAACAGATTTTGAACCAGAACTTGACCATATGCTGCTGTGAAAATTAAGGTAGGTAAGATTGAAGAATACCGGACCACTCGTACATTATTGCGCGAGAAAGTGGAGGGGGGGGGGGGGGGGTGTCCCCCCTGACAAAATTTTAATGAATAGAATAGATCTACCGGTCCGAGATTCTCCATTGAGAGATATTAAAAACGGGAAAATTATGAATTCCTAAGGTTGAGACATAGGCAGTCAGTCCGCTGGTCCGGTATTCTTCAATCGTACCAAATTTTGATGCACTGAACACGAATATCAACTTCATTTCCGTCGCAAATTAATAGTTTTTGAAATATTTGATCGTTCTTAATCGAGATAGACGTGCTGTGGACCAATTGGGGAGGTTCCCTGCCCCCTTGAGGTAGAAGAAAATCTGGGGGAGTTACATGTTTTAACACATAATTTGATATTTTACAGTTAGATTTGAAATTCAAGGTATTTTTTTACTTTCCCTCCCGTGTCACACTCAGCTACCAGTTGTCTATTTTCTACTAAATATTGATGCGCTGAACACGAATATCAACTTCATTTCCGTTGCAAATTAATGGTTTTTGAAATATTTGATTGTTTTTAACCTAGATAGACATGCTTTGGACCAATCGGGGGGTTCCAGGGGGGCCTGCCCCACTGGGGTAAAAGAAAATCTGGGGGGTTACAGGGGGGCATGCCCCCCTGTTTTTACACCCATAATTTGATATTTTACAGTTAGATTTGAAATTGTCTTGAAAATAATTGATTTGCGACAGTTTTAGTGGCTTTATGTGTGATCTGCAGCAAACAGTACAGCAGTTTGACCCCTGAAACAGTGCATCTGTGTGCGGGAGTGAAAGTAAAAATTTACCGAAATTTACTTGAAATAATTGATTTGCGACAGTTTTAGTGGCTTTATTTGTGATCTGCAGCAAACGGTACAGCATTTTGACCCCTGAAGCAGTGCATCTGTGTGTGGGAGTGAAAGTAAAAATTTACTGCAGTACTGTTTTCTGCAGATCACACATAAAGTCACTAAAACGATATGGTAGCTATGAGTCTCACACTTATGTAGGCCTTTTTCTACTACATATTGATTCACTGAACACGAATATCAACTTTTTTTCCGTCACAAATTAATATTTTTGAAATGTAGTTGATTTTTCTCTATCGAGATAGATTAGGCGTGTTTTGGACTAATCAGGGGGGCTGTTTTATTAACCCATAATTTGATATTTTACAGTTAGTTCTAGATTTGAAATTTTCTAGAAAATAATTGATTTGCGACAGTTTTAGTGGCTTTTTTGTGTGTGATCTGCAGCGAACAGTACAGCAGTTGACCCCCGAAGCAGTGAATCTGTGTGCGGGAGTGAAAGTAAAAATTTACGAAAACTGTACCTTCATGTCTTTTTTATTGTAGTAGTTATTTGCTGCAAATCAATAGGTACTGAGTTACTTACGTTTGAAAACAACTAGATCAAGAGGACAATGGCGTAGTGATATTTTACTTGTTTTAACATGTGGAGTTTCAGGGGAGCACACCCCCACCCTGACTTTAAAAAATCGGGGGGGGGGGGGGGCATGTCATCATAATTTGACATTTTGATTGATATTTACTTGAGAGTTCAGGGGGTTAGCCCCCGTGCGTTTGCCCATTATTTTTGGTGCAATATTACGTGGCAATTCTAATGGCCATATATTCGTTTTTAGCACCCCCAAAAAAACGTTAGTTGGGTCACGAGAAACAGTGCGTGTGCATCAGTAAAAACGTACGGCGGAAAACACACAGGCAATGCTGACATCTACTTCAAATGGCCTATTTTGGCAATTTTTCAAAATGAATGCACAGTATTGAATATGGTATCAAAATTTAGCCCAAACCCTGTAGATTTCAGAAATGTTTGTGTCATGGGCAACAACTGTCTCGTTATGTAATAAAGGGCGCGTAATCACAGGTGATTTCAATTGCTTATCTCTGCAATAATGTCTTCCAAACTGAAAGCAGGACCCATCCTGATATACTCAGAGCATATATAAGCAAAAACAAGCACAAAATTCAAGAATTTATGAAAAGGGGAGACAATTAAATGAAGCCGACCAATGCACGGTTTACACAAATATATTTATTACACCAATTAATGAGTGGACATGAGTAAAAAAAATGGGAAAATGAAAATAATGGCCTTGAGATCTAATGCCTCTTGTTAGTCCTTTTGTATTTGTCCAGGTGAAGAAGTCTGGTGATCCCTTATTTGTGATTAGACCAACATTGTTGCTCTTGGAAAAGACGTCGCTGGTGCTGCTCTTTTCCATAAATCTCACACTGAAGTCATCCTCCTTGAGCATTTGAACCTTAACCTACAGGAAAAAATCAAATAACACACCTTGAGAAATAAAGAACTTAGTTGGGAAAAACAGCAATTATTTGTAATAAATATTATGATCTGATTTGTTAAATTTCAATCGGAACTAACAATTTTAGCTGTTTACTAACCATGGCAGAATATGTCCACCCTTGCCTCTTTTGGCCTCTATTTTTTCAGTAAGTAGTAGATGTTCTAGACTTTTTTAAAATGTCAATTGAATGTATCACACCTACATTTGTCTCTTTCTTATTGTATTTATTAGTGAGTCCCTTGTAGGCCTTCTTTCTCGCATTCTGCACAACCTTATTTGATTTCTTTTCCTCATAACATGAAACAGCAGTCTCCTAAAGAAACATCTTTCTGTTGTGTCTAGACTACTCTTTGTTCACTATCTTGAGTAACTGACAACTTATATTCATGGCATAGCCATTCAGAAGGCTTGGCCACAAACAGTTCCAAGGATTGTGAAGTTAAATGAAAGAGGTCTGGAGACACTCATGTCTATAAAGACTGACTTTAAATCATCATATCTTCTGGAATCTCTTCATTGTCAAATAAATAATAATTGTCTTATGAATCCTGTCTGTATTTGAGTGCCCCCTTCCCCTTTAATTCTCAAATTTTTGGAATACATCGTTCGCTATCTTTATTTTGAAGTTTCTCTTCACAATATTATTATTTTTTCGTTACATGCCCCCCCCCCTCCTTTTATTTCCACTCTATGTCTATATTGCATGTTTCCACATTTGATTTTGACTGTCTTCTCTTCTTGTTCATTAAATTAAATTTAAAATATATAAAAAACTAACTAAAATTCATTGGAAGCTAATCCAAGTAGATCGAGGCCTATCTAATTCTATTCTGAACATCGCGACACAACGATCTTTGAAATGCCTTCCCCCCTTCCTCCCCCTTTCGGATTGCGCGGCCGCCATTTTCTTGCCTTCGCGGCGATTTCGTGTCGTGCTTACGAAAAAATTAGATTTAGGCGATTATCTCACACCATGGAGCAATTTAAAGATTTATTTACGCTGAAAATGAAACTAGCATGGATAATGACTTACATTTCGTGATATTTGGGTTGAAAATCGCATTTAAGACTTAGATTTAGCCTCATTTTGTTGTTCACTGGTCTTGTTTGTTCGACCTGCGCAAAGTCCAACCGATGCACGACAGACGTGAAAAATGCGGGTTTTCAAACTTAATTTAACAATTAATGTTAGAAAATGAATAGAAACTATGGCGTAGAACTTTAAAAAACTTCGTTTTGGACAATTACTGCGAGGTCGTTGTGCCGTGATCGCAAATTCCAGTTTGTTCACCCGGTGGAATACGTGCGACGGAAACCCGAATGATCGTGAATGAATAGCCGTAAATCTTTTATGAATCTATTTTTCTTCCTTTTTAAAATACAAATTATCGCAGTTATGATTAAAACATTGTCAAAACATGTTTAATGGCAACTAAAACAAAAAATATACTAAAACTAACAAATTTAGAATTACGTGGAAAAACGACATACACATGCCGACAATGCAGGCAATTAGGATTTTTTAACATATTTTTTAGAAAATCGTGATTAATTTCATGTTTTTAATGCCAAATCATACTATTATCATTCTAGAACAAATTCTTTGCAAAATTACCATAAAAAATTATGAGAAAAAAAAATTAGACTTACCCTTCTCTCCATGTGTTCTGTTGTCAAGTAAACATTGTCTGTCGTCATTCCATGGGTCCAGGAACTTCACAAAACCACAACTTTCACAAAAAGTAAAAACTCACAAAAATGTTGCTGTCCCAGCTTCTCGAAACTTCACTCTACGATATCAACTAAAGATACACACACACAGTTATCCCATTTCTGAGAAAAATTGTTCAGAATACAGAAAGTGCCTCTGCTGTGTTTTCCGCCGTACCTTGTTTTCAAGAAAATTTCTAAACTGCAAGAT